GAAAATATAACCTCTATTTTAAGGTAATGTTTGATTTTTTTTCTAGGTCCAGAAGGAGCTAATTTATTTATTTATCATTTGCCACAAGAATTCTCAGATGCAGATCTGTTGAACACTTTTCAACAATTTGGTAATGTTGTAAGTGCTAAAGTGTTTATTGACAAAGTCACAAACACAAGTAAATGTTTTGGTGAGTAAATGAGTTGATAATAGCTAAAAGCTGACATTCAAAACAATTGCAAATATTTCATTATTTTACACTAGAAAACATTTAAAATTTATAAATGTAATACAACACATGTGTCTCTGTCCTCTGATATAAAMATRGTGGAAAAACACGAGAGAAGGCAAGCTTTGCTTCTTGAGTGCTTTCTGACTTCCACTGCATTTAAGTGGCCGTTTTATAGTTCTTTTTCTGTGTTTTTTTTTTTGTCAGTAAGCCGTGTCTCTGTCCTCAGATATAAAGTCATCAGCCAATCAGAGTGCATGTTATATATAAAAAAATTATGAATARAAATAAAAACATGCCCAGAGTTAGTAGAGGGGAAAATTTAATTGATTACAGGAAATAATGATTTGTTCCTCTCTTACATGAAAATGTTGTCAAAATGAAGACAGCTTTTCAAGAAACTCTTAAATATATTTTTACTTAATTGAGAAATTYATATGACCAAAGCTGTTTTTGTCAGATCATTTGTCAAAACGTTTTGTTTTATCTTATCGTGTAATTTTTTATTTGCAAGAGTGTACATGTCTTTTTATTTGCTGACAAACTTATCGTAAAATGTTTATTGGGCTGCCTGATGAATTCTTAATGAATTTGATTTGGTTTGAGCATTATAATCACTATTTAAAGCTTATAAGCTTTTAGTTCAATACAATGAATGTATTGTTTAATGTGCTGTAGCGAAGTACCATTGCCAATGTTTTTTTTGTTTTTTTGTTTTTAGGTTTTGTAAGCTATGACAACCCTCAGTCGGCCGCCAATGCCATAACGCACATGAACGGCTTTCAGATTGCGACCAAGAGACTCAAAGTACAGTTAAAACGCCCCAAAGACGCAAATCGACCGTACTAGGTAAGAAAACCAGATGCAGTTCTTGTACTTATTTAACTTCACCTTGTTTGTGCRTTGCAGATAAAAARGACGACAACAGCCACCCTAAGTGTTTTAATTTCTTGGTCTCCCTTGAATCCCTGAGCTGAACGAGTTGAGAATGTTTTTATTGAATCACAAGCTCAGTGAAAATAACACTAGACACTGTTATATCTGTAGTAATTCCTGTGTTCGTAACAATCCACGTACATTATGTAGCAGCATGTTGTCACTGTTAGTATTTTGTAAATTCTTGGCTACATCATGGCTCACAAATTGTGTGAAGTGGTTCTTAGCCATGATTGTAACAACAATAGGTCTATAACGTTGTTTTGGTATTCCTGTGCTATTCTAATGTTTTTCTTTAACCACATGGGGTTAAGTTTGGGTTTCTACTTTTTGTACATGACCCATGCTTAGCCCCACTCTGACGTCTGTGTCCGTTCTGTTTTCTCCAGATCACGTGATATGTACTGATTGTCTGTGCGTCCGTCCTTTGTAGCAGTGGCGGTGACCTTTGCGCATGTCCGTGGTTATTGTGGTGATGCAAGTACTGATGTAGTCTACATGTAGTGGTGTTTTGCAGTGTTTTCCAGGCTTTTGCCTTGTTCTTGTAGGTGATGGGATGTCTGTAGCATGATGCACAGCATGTGTTGTAAATGTGTCATGTGTAGAGCAGTGTTACATGGATCTCACACTGCTCTTTGCATGACTTGTCTCTTTGTTTTATGACCAGTCCGCACTATGAGTACCGCAGTTTCGGGTAGCATCGTATGCTCAGCGTCTCAGCCAAACAAAGTGCAAGGTYTTTAGTTCCAAATATATCCAGTAGATATTTGTGTGTGTAYGAACAGTATTTTGTAGCATTCATAGTAGTTTGATGTGTTGTGTATGTATTTTTGGTGGAAGATTGAGTGTCATTGGCTTTGTAAAAGCTGTTTAAGTCACGTGTTATGTCCTCATTCTCTCATCTTCAAATGAAAATCTACAACATATTTATGACAAATAAACTTGCAATTTTGCCCATCTTTAGTGTGCCTTCTTTATTGTAGATCACATCACTCAATAAGGATAAGAATGGTCAGCGTACTATTCCCATGTGACCAACCCAATGGGACCGAGCAGCTTAATTTTTGTTGAGGGGGCTAACGAACACCGAAGGCTGGATCAAGGGGGGCTGGGAGGTGCAGGAATTTTTGAAATTTTGAATCTCGGAAATGCAATTTCCGCAGCATGGATTCTTTGAAAATATTACTTGGCACTTAACTAGCATGTGTAAAGAACTAAAAAAAACATTTTCTCACGAGCGGGATAGTACAATTATTTACAATGGAAATCCTAAATCTAACTGGACWGTTTGCAATCTCTCTAGTTTCTGATATTAACTTGAGTAAGCACATCACACCTTAAATRGTACCACGTGTCATTCTTTGAGGCCGATTATGCACTAGCCAAATTGAACCCCCCCGATACCAGGGAAAAATACCGGGGAATTTAACGTTTGTGGTGTTAAAATATGTGAATGTTTTCCTACGTAGTCGGAAGTACTTTCACTGTTAAACCCCTCGCCGCTATGCCCCAGCTATTTTGGTGTATATAAGTAAATAAAAAACAATACCTTTCAATCCAACTTAAAAAATAGGCTTGATTTGTATTTTATTTGAATTTAGGTCAGAGCCAAAGGGGCACCCGGTATCACATTCTTTATTATCAGTTTTTTTTCAGGAATTTTTCAAGGATGGACGACCTCTAGTTTCCAGGCTCAAACGAGCATYAAAACTAGCGTTAAAATCCCCGTTCTTTGCCCTGCTTCGAAAACAATTCATCAAAATCCCGGCCTCYCGGGACAATCTTGCTGTTAAAAGCACGTTTAAAACGCGTCACGTCCCCCGTTCAATGTCCCGCAATTTTTATGTGACAACTTTTAATTGCCCGTGTAGATGAGCAAAATTAGCCAATTTTTATGTGACAACTGTAGTTGCTGGAAAGCTGGCATGCTAGTTTTTATGTCACAATTAAAAATTGCCACATATAGTTGTCACATAAAAATTGCTCGTGTACGTATTTCGAGTCCAATCCAGCAATGAGAATAGTTAAATCAAATCAAATGAAAAAATGTATAAAGTATTTTTGTTTTTAAAATGACTGAAATTCATTACATCAAAAGCTTCCCACCGGTAAGTTTATGAAATCTTCTTCATGAAAAAACGCTATGCATTAAGAACAGTAATATCAATGCGCACTTTCTCAGTTCTTTTTAGAAAATGCAAATTTTCAGAAACTTTAAATTGGCACCTTAAAAGATTCCCAATAACAAATTTTTACCCCTAAGAGATCCGATCAGCTTTCCCGGTACTTTTAATCCGGATTCCCTGATCGAAAATCACGCGCATTTTGGGATCCCTGTGCTTARAGCCTGCGATGCTACTGTCCAGTTGTACARCATCGTGAGCATGCTTACATGCRKTGTGCATCGTAAGCTTTGCATCGCTTTGCATTGTGTGTTTGTTTGTCGTTTGGGTTGGAATATGCTTCTTTTTGGACTTTGGGCARGTTTTTCTACTATTACGCTGTACGAATAAGGTGAGTAAATAGGTATTCATATTTTAACTCGTTTCGAAAAAGTTTGGTGGACAATTTTAGCGTTTTCTGAGGTGAAGGGAAGTTCTCGCACATATCAAGTCACTGCCGTGACTCGACTAGTTAGGCACGATTTTCAAAGAGAATATGTGATGCCATGAATGAAAATYGACACCATTTTAAAGGTATTCTTTACTGCTGTGTTTTGCCCAAGTGTATTACTAAAAAAATTTCGGATTTTTGCTGAATTAGGCGGTTGTGTTGCCTCGGCGTCGTTTGGTGTCGTTACCGATAGGTACCGTTCGTTTTTTTTCACACGTGACATGYATAGTCATTATAATTTCTCCTCTACAAAATATTTTCAAAAAATTGCTTTATTTTTAATGTGCATATACACACATTCATAAAATTCTTCCAGCAAACCATTTGAAAAAGAGCTGAAACAGGTTTCAGTATATACAGTACCGCCTAGAATCACATGAACCYTTGTTCGCGTGCATTTCGYGAACACTGAACGYGTTCTCTTTGCGTTTTGTTCGGAATCTGTTCACGAAATTTTCGCGAACAAACTGTTCGCGGACATGTCATGTTGGCAAACACTGTTTATCAGTTACATACATGTATAAACATTTAAGTCTAGTCTCATTTTGACCAAAATTGAACAAATGATACAAAAATCAGCCAAATATTAACATTTTAATAGAAGTAAATGAAATTTATCAGTATTGTAAAGTAGACAATGAAGATTAATAATATCTAATAATTGATAGAGTTTTGTCAAACTGGAGTTAAATATTAACTAGTGAACTAACYGATGCCATTTTCCATAAAAATATTGCCACCCATGTTTTTTAAGAGAACTATTTACACAACAACCCTGATATTGATTACCGGTCACCTCGCAAACATGTCAACTCGCAAACGTCCAACTCGCAAACGTTACAAGGTCAATTCGCAAACGTCTCGATATCAGTTCGCAAACGGTTTTTAATTCAGTTTCTGTGTGATTCAGAGGRGATGTCATTGTAAAGAAACATACAACGAGAATTCTAAGGTATATAATTTAACTCACAAGCAGCGTATCGTTGTATATACGAGCACTGTTAGCGCTAACAGTCACGGCGAAACCGGCGCCGAACTTCGTCCGATTATTAGACTTATAAATGTTTATTCCATTGATATTGCTCTAAAAATAAAACATCCCTAGTAACTTTTACATTTTCCTGACATTTTGTGAGTGGCGACTTTCATACGCTATTTTCCGTTGGGGAACTGAGAAAGGATCTGTGAACCTGAATGAAAACGCGATGACTATTGATGTCGCGCTCGGATCAATAAACCGCAGATTACTTCTACGCATTTTTGGTACAGTACAGGTCTCGAGTAAAGTACCATCCACTCGCTCTATACTCGAGAGTGCGGTTATCGAGTGGCCATCGTTACTCGAGAGTCATGCATGACGAATTATTCATAAAATTCGAGTGTAATCAAGTGGCTTCCACTCGAAAGACTTTCGAGTCTCGAGTGTAGTTATGAACATGCAATTTCTGTTTAACTTAACGATTAATGTAAAGTTAAAGCTACAGACTACAGAATACACGACCATATACAGGACCAGATATCTGTCGAGACACCAGATCGGCGAGCCACCGAGTCAATAAAGTATATGTTACATGTATACAGTACATTCGCGAACCAAGAACAACTCAACAGATATGATNATTTTCACATCTTAAGCATTATTGTCATATAACTTTTATTCGTTTGGTGGCTTCTAAAGAAGCCGGTTGTTTGTTTGAATGACACTTAATATCCAGAGGCACGGCCTTCCCTTGCGATTACCACTGGAATCACTTTATTAAGATGATTGATGTAGCGATTGCATTTGTCTCTCGTCATCCTTGTCTGCCAAAACGTTTTGATTCCATTTTCGAGTTCTTCTTTTGTCCGAGGCTTGTGTTCCTTTCTCAAAAAGTGCTTTAGTTCATGCCAGACAAGTTCAATGGGGTTGAGATCTGGGCTTTCGGGAGGGGTCTGCCACCAGTTGATGTTTGCTGTGGTATAGTACTCTTTGGCCAAGTTGCTGGTGTGCTTTGGGTCGTTGTCCTGCATAAATCGATGTCCGTTAGGGTACTTTTGGCCCTGCTATTTAGAGCCAAGTGCCAGCCTTCCACATCATTATTTGTGCGTATTGGCTGGCCATACACACACCAATTTTTGGGCGGAAATACAGTGCTCTCAATCCACTGGCAATTTATATATCCAACAAATGTCTTTAGGGTATCTGTTCCGGCATCATCTGCTAGTCTCTGAAACTGCACTTGGATTTCTTCTTCTGGGATGAAAAGCAGAGCAAAAAGCTTCCTAATGTACTTATGATATCCCTCATCTTCTTTGTAGGCAACTGCAAGGCCAAGTTTTTGAACCTAATGTAATGATAAATAATTAATAATGTTCTTTTCTAAGTGGAATCCTGTTGAACTCTCAAAATTGTTAGTTATTTTTACCTTTCTCCACACACACTGTGACCAATGAAAGGCACGGCCTTGAATGTGTACGTCTGGCAAGACAATCCCTTACGGCCTGCCAAAGACCAGCTTCAAAATCAATAACAATTTTTTTACAGCGGGCTGCATTGGCAAACAATTGATGATGGCTTTTAGGACCTAAAACATAAATCCTAACAGTCAATACTCATAAATATATAAAATATAAACATAATAATTATAATAATTAATAGGGTCAGGGAAATGATGAATTAAATATCCAGATCAACATGCATAAAAATGGACATTACCTTTTTGTAATCCAACCTTCGCCGGCCTGACATTACAACAAATGCCATAACGACTTGCTTGATGCACTCTCCCGATCTTATGAAAGCGTCGATGCTGAACAGCTGTTGAAAGGGGTGGGTGACAAGTTTGAATGTGCCATCCAGGTACCATGTCTTTGCTTTGGCTAATGCCTCCAGCTGCTGCTTTGTAGCGAAAATTAAATGGCGACGTTCTTTCACCTGAAAATATATAACATTGTATTATTAAAATGAACGATTCATATTGTATTAACAGTTCCTTTCCAACATAGTAGTACATTACAATTGCAATATGTACATTTACATCAGCCCGCAAGAAGTCATTTGGGATGAATTCTGTTATCATATCAAATCCCAAGTCTTTTGGATTTGGAGGACGGGTACCCTGACGCAATCTGTTTGCAGCTCTGGCCATGTTCTGAGGCTTTGGTAGTGATGGGCACGGCTTATCTCTCAATTCCCTTATCAGAACCTGTTTTAGTGAATCTATGATATATTGATTATTATAGGTAATTATAAGATATTATAAATATTTTATTTGTGATATTTTTACCATTCACAATTTTGGATGCTGGCAAGAACTTTTCCTTTACAGCCCTTCTTTTGATTTCAGCAATAATTTTCACCTTTTGG